TAATATAATATATAATTATATTAATATGTATCTCAAAATGTGTATATATATATATTGTAAATTCTCGAAAATAATAATGTTATAATTACTATATATGCAAAAGTGGTTAAATAAAAAGAAAACTTAAACAAACTAAAATAAATTTTTGCATAATTTGTTTGTGTTTATTTTTTTATAGAAATACATGTATTCATTAAATATATTATTATTTCTACTTATATTAAATTAAACAGAAAATCAAAAATCCATATTTTGATCATTATTTAATTTAGTTAAAGAAAAAAAGTTGATTAATTTCGAAGAGAAATCGAATGAATTGCTATAATTTCTATATATATATATATAGAAGAAGGATATATATATCCTTTCTTTCTATGAAAAAATGTCATGAGAAATCATCTTTATAAATATTATTTATAAATATTATTTTATTTCTCTTTGATCAATCTATATATATGATTAAGCTATGATACTTTGATTTTATTAATTTTTAAATATATAACATTAATAATTTTTAAATATATAACATAAATATATAACATTATATATAGGATTTTAAATAACTTTTTCTTATGTACATAAAATATAATTATCAATCGATTTTAGTTTTTGAAATATTTATAAAAAAATTTTGTCTGTTAATTTTATCTATATATATACCTTTTGAATATATACATATTCGTGATAATATTAAATACGATTATTATACTTATTATACATTACGATGGCCAACATTTAAAATGTATTTCATACTTATAATTATATTATTTTAGTTATTGTAATTTCAGTCATTTAAAGCTTATTTTATATTTTATTTTCGAAGTTTTTAAATAAATATTCGGTAATTTTCAAGAAATGCCTAAACTTCAATGTAGCATTTATTTTTAGCAAATATCTCAAAAGCTAAAAATAATCGATGATTATATATATAATCCTATATATATAATTATATAATCCTATATATATATCCTTTCCTAATATATATATACAAGTTTATATATATATACAAATTTAAAATCTTATTCTTTATAACATATTTAAAAATTATCAGAAATCCATGACATCATATATTGATTTATTCTATTTCTAAATGGTTCCACTCCAAAAAAATATTATCAAGAGTAATAAATTTTTCTCGAAAAACTTTATTTTCTACAAAAAATTTTAAAACAAATTAAAATAGTAAAATAATAACAGTAATAAATATTTAATGTACATAGATAAACAATAAACAATAAATCATATGTCATATTTTAAATAACTTCGATGATGAGAAAAATTTTCTAGCTGTATATAGAAACAATTTAAATAATTATAAGTGATTTTAAATGACTTTCAAAGACAACGATAATCTATAATATTTGTAATATTTGTTATAATATTAATAAAACATACAGTTCTATTTATAATAATAAGATTGTTTAAAAAAATAAAGATCACTTGAGATTGAAAATATGTCTTACTTATAAAATGTGCACACAATAAGTATATGAATAATATATAATTTAGAAAATAATTGCGTAGATGAATTAAAATAAAATACTTTATATTCATGTATTTACGAATTTATTATTTAAAACATATAATGTATTTAAATTTAAATTTTAAATTTAAAAACAAAAATGTATTTAAATTTTTATTTTTAGAGACATTTTAAATCCAATTAATTTTTTAAAACATCAATTAATGGCATTAAAAATCATCAATAATTTTTTTGTAATATAAAAAATAATAAATATAATTTATATAATTATATTTATTTTGATTTAAAAAATTATCATAAATATAATTATGACGATAATTATAATTAAAATGACATTAGATAAGTAATCTATTGTATTTTTATTCTTAAATTTTAGATTTATGTAATATATTATATATGTAATCTATATATGTAATATATGTATATATGTATATATGTAATATATAATTATATTTAGCCTTAAATTTTTTTCAAATTATTTTTCATAAAAATAAAATTACTTTAAATCGATTTTCAATAACATTTTAATATTTCGTAAGTTTTGTATATATAAAAAATACAATCTAAAAATATAAAATCTAATTCCATCAATTGATTATTCCTTGAGATATATTGTTCGTTGATATATATTTTTTAAGTTTTATTTATTGAATCTAGTTTTTTTTTTCAAATTCTAAATTTTATATGTTCTTGTTCATTTGAAAATAAAACTATTGCAAATTACTCTAAAAAAATTGTTTTTCACAAATTGATACGTTAAAAAATTATATATAACAAGTTTTGAGTGTTAAGATATCCCGATTTGTAAATAAATAACTGTTTGTAAATAAATAAGTCTTCATATACTCATATAACATGTTTGATTTACTATATCATATATTAAGAAAAAAGATATGAAATACAACATTTTCTAAATACAACATAAATTAACTATATAAAATGTGTATTCATAACAAAGTTAAATCTCTATCGACATATATTCATAAAATTTCCACATGTATGGTAATCTAAAATACATTTGAAAATGAAATTTTAGAGAATATTTTATAAATAAATATTGTATTGAGAATAATTTTCATTCTCAACATTATGCACTTCCAAAAAAATATTTTTCAACAATTTTCAAAAATTTTATGAATTCGTACCATAATATATATTATAACCCTCTCACAGTATTATTAAAAACTTATGTTAGAATATAAAGTGGTTTTTGAATTGAAAAATATCTACCAAAAAAATTTGAACAAGAAGTGAAATTATTTATTATGAATTATTTATTATTAATTTATTTATTTTATTAATTCAATTAATGAATTTAATTATAAATAACTTAAATTTACGAAAAAAGTCATTGTATTTTACCTAGAAATATATTTATTTTCAAATAATTATCTTTTAAAATACTGTAAATAATTCAAATTATTTTTTTCACTATTTTTCTAATTTTGTATTTAATTAAATGAAATATTGAAGACTATTTAATCTTTACAAATTATATATATAATTTAAATATATGTTAATTAAATATATAATTTAAAAATTAAAATAAATCTATCTTACAAATCTTACAATCTATCTTATAATTCTTATAAATCGAATTTATTTATCTTTATATAATAAATAATAAGTTAAATGAAGTTAGAAAAGAATCTAAAAAACTAAAAATTTCATTCATTATTATTATTTATAAATAAAGATAATTTTTTTTAATTTATATATTGCCAATTATATTTTTTACCAATTATCATTTATTGTACTTATTATAAATTGAATTTTTACTATATTCATACATAAATTTTCAAAATTATTAAGCGTTTTTAATATAAAGTTCCATAACTTCTTAGCAACTTCTCTTTTTATATTGATTTTTCTTTTTTTTCTTTAAGATATTATAAACAAGAGTATACATTTTTTATATCTTCATAATAACGATGATTATTTATTTATATATGTCCAAAACAAATAGCACTGCATAAAATTCATTTATGAAAAAATGAAGAAACAATCCCTCAGATCGATTTTATTCGAATTATTACAAATTCGAAATACAGATTTAACACGAATTTAAATCAGATTTGACAAATCTGCAAAGTAGTAAAACTGATATAAATGATAAATGATAATAACTGAGAAGGTGACAAAAAAATCTCGTTTTTTCTTAATGAGTAAATGAATTATAAACAGATTTTTTCATGATCTATCTTTTATCAATATAATTAATATAATCAAGTTTTTCTTTTTTTGATAATAGCACTTATTAAATATATATATGAAATGTTATCATTTTTGTTAAGAAGAATTGAGTTATTTAATCATAGTAAAAATGTTTGATGATCCTAGTGAATGTAATGAAAATAATTATATGTCAATAAATAATTTCAATAAAAATAATATATTTCAATATTCATAATATTTCAATAATAATAAATAATTTCAATAAAATAATTACAAAAAAATTTTTGTTATATAATATCGAATTGATACATAATGGACATTGATATATAATATACATTTCTAAATTATATTATAAAATATTATAGAATAATATTTTTCATATACATTTACAATATAATAAAAAAATTTTTTAATATAACAATAATTGTAATATATTATAAAATATTTTGTTTTTTTTCTCAATTTCTTTCTCTTATTATATACAAATTCTTTTATTCTACAATATTTTTAATCAATATATTTTTAATCAATTACTTTAAAACTCAATAAGAACATTATTTTGTAAAAAATTAATTTTATCAATTTCAGTCTTTTTTTTTTTATAAAATAATGTCACTAATTAAGCTCAAATTGTGCACGTTTTCGTTTTTTCAAGTTTGTTGTAATTTCAGAAGAAATAATGTTATTTGTATCTCCTTTTAACCATTCTAAAAGCCGAACTTTAGCTTTTCGGCCGATAAGAAAAAGATCTCTTTCGAGACGAGGAAGTTGATTTGCTAATGTAGGATCAGATATTGGATTTTGAGCCCAGTCCATAATTAATCGAAAACGAGATTTAAATGTCTGAAAGTAAAAAATGAAAAATTTATATATATTTTCAAAAATATATTTAAAATAGTAATTATGCACAAAAAGCATCATCTTAGTGATTTTAATGATATTAAAATATGTTATTTTTAATAATATTTTGAACAATTTTTCTCTATAGATATAATTATTACTTTTATTTAATTTTTGAAATATTTGCAAAAATGATTCATATCGTATTTTTAAAATTTGATATAAATTTGAGTGCGTGAAATAGTTCAATTTAAATTAGTTTCAATTTGAGTTAAAGTTAAGTTTTAATTTAAATTTAATAAATAAAAAAAAATAATTACAAAGATAATTACGATTCAGTAAAAACAGTATATAAGTTTACTTCAACTTATGTATCTATATAATATATATAATAAATATAATTTCTAATATTTGAAATCGATGCTGATATAAGTAATCATACTTAAATCTACAATTAACATTAATTCTGTATTACAATTAACATTAATTCAATAAAAAAGATAATATCTTATTATGTTCGGATTCTAATAATCGATTCAAAATATAACTTTGAAATTTGTCTCTTACTTTTAGTTATTGATTATAATAAGTTATGAAGCAATTGAAATAATCAAGAAAAAGATATGATTTTATGGAATAATAACGGATATATAATTACATGTTTTATCTTCAGATTATCACGTAGATTTATCAAACTGACAATATTGTTTTAAATATTAGGAAATTTAAAATATAATACATAAAATATAAAATATATATATTTAAAGAAATATTGATAATTATATAAGAATTTATAAGAAAAGTAACGAGAAATAAAATCTGCCGGTTGATATATAAAATATATTATATATAAAATACAAAATATATCATATATATTATAATAAATATATAAAATATAAATATATAATAATATAAAAATATATAGAATATATCATAATAAAATATCTAGCTTTTATACATAGAAAAAATTACCAATCTAAAAGAAAAATTTTGTTTCATCTTTTTATAAATTAATTTTGATTAATCTAATAAAATGATACTTCTAAAAAAGACCACTTAAACCAAAATAAAATTCTAATACACAAATCCAATATTTTAATTTGAAAAATATTAAAAAATTACATAATATTATTGAAAGATCTTTTATTAATTATTTGTTAATCAAATTTTTAGTTCTTTTAAAGATTAATTAAAGAGATAATCTTTACAATATAATATAATTAATTGCTATTATTCATATTAAATCCATATATTAATATTAAATCCATATTTTTATAAAATTCAAATATTTAATTTCATTATATTATTTTTTAAATTCAATTGTTGAAAAAAATAACAGAAAAAATAAGTTTTATTTTTTTTAATAATATTTTTAAATATACAATAATTTTAACAAAATTAAATATGCAGAATGAGAATTCCTTAAAATAAATATTGTTATGTACTTATTTTATTGTAAAATTTATTACAGAAAAACTGCCACATTATAAGATATATAACAATTGATTTTCATTTGCTATTTTGCATCAATTTTTACAATAGTTCTAAAAAAAAGAAACAGATTTTTTTCGGCAAATTATTATAAATTTATAAAAAAAATTTTTTCGGGAAATTAATAGTATAGTAAATCTTATTTTATTTTATTAAACATAAAATAATTAATGAATTCATGAATTTAGAGGATATATTATGAAATAAAAGCAGTCGAAAAGAAAAAATAAAAATAAAAAATATATAATCCAGTAAATATAGTGAATATAAATATTGGCACAGTATGTTATATACAAATATTAAAAACTATTGATAAAATTATTAAAATCATTTTCTTTTTTGTATATATCTTTATTTAAATTATTTTATCTGTCTATATACAAAAAAAATTATAAAATTATAGAAAAATATAGAATAGAAATTATAAAATTATAGAATATAAAATTAATAAAAATATGTTTTATAATCATCTTATACCTAGATAAAAATATTAGCACGTATCGTAAAAATTTATATTTATATATTTTATTTTACACCTATATTCTTCACATATATTAAAACAAACAAAAAAAAACTAATGATTTTTTTTTATTTTTATATTATTGTAGAAGTTTATGAATATTTTTAGATTAAAAAATATAAAACAAAGAAAAAGAAATTATGTCGAAAGAAAAAAGAAGAAAGAAAGATTATATTAAATTTGTACGAACAAGATAAATCTTTGAAAATTAGTGAAATATAAAAAAAGTATTTTATTATTCGTATTAAATATTATTAAAACAAATTGTATTTACAAGTACATTAAATATTCATAATCATGTATATAGTGGTCCTGTAAATTATCGAATAAAGAAAAAAAAAAGAATATAATTAAATAATATAATTAAAATCTATAAATAAATTTTTCAGAAATGGCTACAACGATTATACAAGATCATGAAAAAAAATTAATTTAAAAATAGAGCTAAAAGAAATTAAAAAGAAAAAAAATATTAAAAGAATATTAATATTCTTTTAATATTAAAGATGCAAGATATTCTGTATGTGTTATACGAAAAAAATTATTTATTAGCGAATTGAATTTATCAGAGAATTTTAAAATAAAAACAATGAATTTTGAGATCAAGTATTGATATTTTCTAATGAAAATAAGATCATTATTTAAATTAGACAATTGAATATTGAAGAAACATAATATTATGTTATTTTAAATTAAGTTATTTGAAAAATAACTTTACTTTTTTTTTTCTTTAATAGTTAAAAAGATGGTAAAGTATATGAAAGTTTTCATCTGATTTTGGAAAATTAATATAAATTATTGAAGATTCAAAAAATAAATCTATTTAAACATCTCACAAAATAAACATCTTTTTTGTATATAACAACAACAAATAAACAAATAAACAAATAAAATATTTTAAATAAAGATATATACAAAAAAGAAGTGATTTAAATAATTTATTAATAATTTTTCATATTTGTATATTAAATAACGTACTGTATCAATATATATATTAGTTACTATTAATCAAAATTAATACTTAATATTAATATATCAAAATAGATATTTTTTCAAGATTTGAAAAACTCAAATCAAGAAAAACCCGAACAATGTTAAATTTTGTACAAAATAGGATTCCATAATCAACTATCTAAAAAAAAAAATCTAATATTTTCAAAGTTATTTTCAAAGTATTTTCAAAAAAAAATTAAAAGATTTCGAATTTGCCAAATAATATATAAATTTTAGAAAAATATAATTTTTTCTGAAGAAATTAAAAGTTAATACATTTAATTATTTATGAAAAAATATTTATTTGATGCATATAATAAAAATAGAAACATCCGAAATTTTATAGAAATCATAAATAATTTTTAAATATACAAAGAATCACGATATAGGATTGCATAGCAGCAGATGGAAATTGAATATTAAAAATACTTATGGAGGAAACAATGGAAAAAATGAATATTTTAAAACGAGAATTAAAATCTTTGATTGAAAAATTACAGATATTATTAATATATCTTATCATTAATATAACTATTCTACTTTATGTGTTAAAAAAATATTTACTTTATAATGATCTTAAATTATTAGAAATATCATCGTCAATCATAGGATCTCAATAAAATTCAATTCGATTTATGAAGAGAATTAAAAATCTAATTAAAAAATTATAATATAAATAATAAAGAAAATATGAAGAAAAAAATAGCAGAAATAATATACAAAAAAATTAATCGAATCGATGCCAACATATATTCATCCGCAAGCACATATAGAAATATGAAACTAGAATATATTATATTATTATTATTATATATTATATATTATGTTATATATA